GGACCGGGCCCGCCCCGGGCCGCCCATAGGCCGTCGACAGGTTTCGCGCCGGACGCGGGCCAATTTTACACTCCTATTAATGTGAATGTTAACATGTCAATGTGAATATTCACATTGTCAACGGGCGGGGCCCGCCCTGGCTCGCGGACGGGTTTTGGGCTGCCCACGGGCCAATTTTACATTCCTACCAATGTGAATTTAAAAATATGAATGTTCACATCATAAAATTGCTAACCGTTAAAAAAATATATATAAGGGTATCAAAATTAAATATAAGGGCATAAGTGTCCAAGAAAATAGTGTAAATCAAGAAAAATGACTTTATGGAATAAAACTATACATACATGGGACTAAATGGGTTAAAAAATTCTTTCATGGACTTCTTGGGTTAAAACACTTCAAAATGGGATTTATCGATAAAAATTTATATTATTTATAACTAGTATATTATGGACAATATATATATATATATATATATAAAAAGTCATGGATATAAGTGTTAAAATAAATCATATAATGATAAAGTAATTTTTTATACGAAATTTCAGTAAAAATTCAATATAATAATAATATCACGTCATCATTAACATATGATGTCACCAATCAATAGTAAATAAATACATAGAGGACGAATCACACATGTCAAATGCAACTAACAATTTAATAAATTTCATATATTCATTGAGATTAATTATAATTATATGTCAATAATGATAGATATCACCATAGTATTAAAATTTTCATAAATAATAATATGACTTATCGTAATATCTTTATTTTTAATAAGAAAACAACCATTATTATTCTCATAATTTTAAAAATGTCATATTCAGCTTGTTTGGTTCCAGTTTTTAAAAAAAATTATTTTTTTATTTTTCGTATTTTAATATTTTAAATGAACTTTTTTAATATTTTAAGCATCTTTTATTTTTTAATTTTTAGACACACCGAACATAAATACACTTAAAAAGTATAATATTTGTGAAAAAAATCTTTAAAAAATATACTAAATACCAAAAAATACAAAAAAAAATATGAAAATTTAGTACATTTTTGTATTTTTGTGTATTTATTAATTTTTTAAAATATTTTACTATTTTAAATACATATGAGTAAGGTGCATCTAAAAAAGTAAAAAAAATACTTAAAATTTAAAAAATATTTACTAAAAACAAAAAAATACAAAAAATAAAAAATTCAGTTTTCAGAAAACTGAATTCAGAAAACTAAAACCAAACACACTAATTGATATTTCACTCTAAATAATATTTTATAATTTTTTTATTTAAAATATCTTCTTTATGCTTACAAAAAAAAAATAAAATAAAATAAAATAAAAAATAATTATTCCAAAACTTAGGGGGGCACGTGACCCCATGGACCCTCTGTGGCTTCGCCACTCACAACAGTGATGTTGTGCACCGCCGTACAGCAGCCATCCCAAATCTTAATTATTCAGTTATTAATGATACATGGCTCCGTTTGGCAAGAGCTAAACGGGATTTTTTTGACTATTTTAGCCACAAAAGACAAAATAGGCTATTTTAGCCACAAAAAACAAAATATCACATCCAATCCATAATCATTACATTATTCTCTCGCAAAAAAAGTCAAAAAGTCAAAAAACTATTCACAAACTAAACTTTTTAGCCCAGGCTAAAATAGTCAAAAAAGTCAAAAAGCCAACTCACTTCCCAAACGGAGGCATACTAAAATTTAGGATTGTTTTGAGAAGTGCTAAATAAATTTATTTATTATGAAAAGACGTATAAAAAGTAGAGAGTTGATAGGACTCAAATAAGTCAAAAAGTTGACTTATAAACCACTTACCAAAAGAGATTTTATTAAGAAAAGAATGAATGGAAAATGAAATTACTTATACGTATTTATTTTTTTATAGGCAACTAGACAAATAAATGATTTTTTAAAATATAAATACATATTTATTTTCTTCTCATTTTCCTAATTCAATCAAAAATATATATAAATCAATTTCTTTAAATTCATTTTCTTTTGGTATGTTTTTTTTTTCCTTTTCAATTTTGTTGATAAATCCAACATCAAAGAAAAGCATAAGACTAAGATGTGCAATGCACACAAAATATTTACTTCATTAATATTTACATAAATGCAGTAATCTTAATAAAATTATCATTGTCTTGAGTAAATTACTAATAATAAAAAATTATTTTATAATTTTTATTTTGCTAAATTATATATAATGGAAGGTGAATAGTTGGCAAGATAAAAGCAATGGGTTTACTTAAACACCACATCCAAAAGGTCAAAAAAGTGTGACAATTAAAAAAAATGCCAATTTTTATTGTGAGATTTTGAATTTTATACCCGAATGGCCATCCACAAATAATATAAAAACGCCAAAATACTTGGAGAAATTTTATGATTCTTAAGCAGCAGAGAAAGCAAAAATGTTGCAAATTTGACCATGTTTAGAGTCATTAGGACCACAAAAATAATTAAAATAAAAACAAGAAAAGTGAGGAAGAGAGGAAGAAAATCCTAATTTTACACCATTTTAATGGCAAATTTGCAATTCCCACACCATGAGCTTGGTGAGTGTTTGGTGCAACTTATGGCTTATTACATTTTTTTTATTTTATTTTTTGTTTTTGTTTGATATAATTTCTACTTATAACTTATAAAATAGAAATAATTTAAATAAATTAAAAAAAATCGATTATTAAAAAACAAAAGGAGATCTCTACACTTTTCAGTCAAATGTCAATATTTTCTCTGTCTAGATCCATTATAAAAACTAACGAAAAATTGTCATTGCACAATGGGTGGGTTAATTTTTATAGTGACAAGTGATGAGTTTTGTCAATTTGACCTTGTTTGGGAACAAGTTAATTTAATAATTTTTTAGTTATTTGGTTAAAATATGAGCTAAAAAAAATTAGTAAGTTTGGGATGACTTTTTGACTTTTTACGAAAATATATGTAAAAAGTAGAGAGAAAAGAGAATCTTTTGACATTTTGGTTTGGATTATTGGCTTTTTAGTTAATTTAGTAACTTTTTGACTAATATATATCAATATTTGAATATCACAATTGAAATGCAAGAGCTAGAATGCAATTTGATATAATTTATAAAAGTGCAAAGTGTAATTTAAAAATTGAAAAATGTTCCAAAACACTAAAAAATAAAAAATCTTACAGCAGATACACATGAAAATTTATTAAATAATTTCAAACTACCAAATAGGAAAATTTACCCATAAGTCCTAGTTTCTGAAAAGTTGAACCATTTAGTCCTAAAAGTTTTCTTATGCTCCATTTAGTCCCATTTGCACATCAATCTAATGTTTGAAACATTAATCTGATGTTCGAAATCTAATGTTCGAAACATTAATCTGATATTCGAAATCTAATGTTCGAAACATTAATCTGATGTTTGAAACATTGTAATGTGACCTTTCAGTCTATAAGAAAACTTTTAGGACTAAACAGTGTATAAGTTATTAATTTGGGATTTATTGGTGCATCCCCCTATCCTATAATGTTGTCATGAACTATTTTTTTACTAAAAGAAATAACAATAAATATATATTAAGTGAGTGATTCTCTATTTTGTATATATAAATTTTTGAGTAAATTATAAATACACCTCTTGAAATTTACTTAAAATACAAGTTGTCCCTTATAGTTTTAAAAATTATATTCTGTCTTTTCAAGTTTTTAATTGTATAACAAATAACTTTTTTTTATTAATAAATCATCAAATTAATTAATTATTTTTAATGATGTCATGAATATATTTCAATTAATAATTCAAGTAATTTTATTAGAAAAGGACCTCAAGGAATTTATCAAAATTTCTACTAAATATCTTGCATGGGTGTGTCCATACCCATGCAAGACATTTGGTAAAAATGTTGATAATCTCTTGGTGTCTGTAGCATTGCTAATTTTATTAGGGTCTGGCTTTGGTTCAGTCCGCCATCGGACTGGACCGTGCTGTTGGGCCCGTGGGGGCCCACCACAGGTCCTGTTTTGAAAATCTGAACCATTTCAATGTGTAGAAATCGCTGAGTACTATATGCCTGTGAAAAATCACGTTGATCGGATATCGATAACTATGTGATCAAATCAGTTTTGTATAAAAAAAATGGACGGTGAATAAATTAACGGTTGATAAAAAACTGTTTTGATCACATAGCTATCGATATCCGATCAACGTGATTTTTCACAGGCATATAGTACTCGATGAGTTCTACACATTAAACGGCTCGTATTTTCAAAACGGGACCCGTGGTGGGCCCCCACAGGCCCAACAGCACGGTCCAGTCCGATGGTGGACTGGACCAAAGCCAGGCCCATTTTATTATTACATAGAAGAATAGTTAAGGATTTTATTTTTTTTCTGTTAATTCTATTAAATAAAAAATTACCATAAGAGGGCATTTTTAATTTTCAAAATCACACAAGGCAAGTCATATTTTCAACAAATCTCAAAAAATATATTTGTAATTCAACAATATTAAAGACACCAAATTTTTTTATCAAAAAATTTATCAAACACTCACATAGATGTGAGTCTCATACCCATGTGAGTGATTTGATACATTTCTTGGTAATTTTGTTGATATCGCTATCATTTTTCTTTGTAATTTATTCTAAAATTTGAGTAATTTTTGTATGCGAATATGATATATGCATATGGTATCTTTTACTATTGTGATTAATTTTAACAGTAGGATTTACTATAATTATGTTGGGTATTTAAGAAATAATAGGGGATATATATATATTTGTGATTAGTGAAAAATAGTGGCACGTGATATCCTATCGGCATATAAAAATTTCTCATAAAATTTGTTGTGATTGATTAATGAGGATGGCTGCGATAGTAGGGAATAATTACCCAGGAGACATGAGGTCCATGAGGGAGGTGAGCAGACCGTTGATATTAACAGATTCCAATAGAGACGGCGTCGTTTTCAACCATCTTCCCCCTCTATAAAGAACACTTCTCTCTCCCTCCATTGGCTCCACACACTCTCTCTCTTCCCATCAAACTCAAACGGACGACCAGGATTCGCCATCCAATCTCTCTGTCTCTCTGTGAAAACAATGAGCGATCTAAAGTCGAAATTCCTGGAAGTGTACACTTCCCTGAAATCGGAGCTTCTCAATGACCCTGCTTTCGAGTTCACCGATGATTCTCGTCAATGGGTCGACCGAGTATGAACTATAAACAAATCTCTCTCTCTCTCTCTCTCTCCCTCTCTCTCTTTATTTTTCATTTTTATGTTTATTTTGGTAGCATAAATGCATTAATCTTGTTAAATTACCTTTTTGTTTTCAGTCTTTTTCAATTATATCTTTCACTTGTTTGTTGGGTTTTTTTATATAAAAAAATGGACATGGTTTGTTTGAAAAGATTCTTAATGCTAAAGTTTAGGGGGATTTCTATGTTTTTTTTTTTGTTCAATTGAGCTTTTGTGTTATGTATGTTTTTTTGGGTTTTTAATTGTTGTGATTGAAAGTCAATGATCTAATTAGAAAGATGAGTACTTTGATTTCACCAAAATAAATCATTAAAAAAATTGCTGTAGATTGAAATATAGTAGAATGAATGAAACGTCAAATTTGTTCTTGAAAACCATAGATTTGTGAATTTTTAATTTTTTTTTTTTACATCATGAGATGACTTGATACTAGTGTAGTTTGAATCCAGTATATAATGAAATTTATTATTGAAAAAGCATGGATTTGTGAGTTTTTTTAAAAAAATATTTTTTAAATCATGAGAACAAGTGACACTACTATAGTTTGAATCCAGTTTATAATGAAATTTATTATTGAAAAGCATAGATTTGTGATTTTTTTTTATTTTTTATTTTTTTAATACATCATGAGAGCACGTGATACTACTATAGTTTGAATCCAGTATATGATATTGAAATGGACATTTTAATGTCTCCTCAAACTTAAATAGTCAGGTCAACAAGCAAAACTTTATGGGTTTATTGTACTTTACCCTGAAAAGAAGTGGGGAAATAGGTGGGTGATTGGGGTTGGTAGAAAGGAAAACTTTGAGTTGCCTATGAAAATTTGTCACAAATTGTTCGCTGCATCTGATGATTTTACCAAAAAGTAAATAAATATTGCAGTAAATAAATATTGTGGTGGAGTAATAGAGAGTAGAATGACAGATTCATGAAATTTTACAGTGCGTTTTGATTGAGGGGTTTGGTGAGAAAAGGAAAGAATAAGAGAAAAAAGGACCAATTATCACTTGTTTGGATGATTGATGAGATGAGAAATTTTGTGAAAGGGAGAGATGGAGAAAAAGAAAACACTCCCATTTCTCATAAAATTGGTAAGAAACAGCATCTGCTGAATATGAAATTTTTGTAATACCTAAATTGTCAATCTAAATTCAAAGCAAAGAAAATGAGAAGGTACTTCTATTCTCTTTTCTTTTCTGCTCATCCAAACAAATTATTATTGAGAAACCACAATCATTTATTTTCTTTTCTCGCCTAGTTTATTCTGGAGAAGCATGGATTTGTGATTTTTTTTAACATCATGAGAGTACTTGATACTATGATAGTGTGAATTCATTATATGATATTGATGTGGACATTTAATGCCTAGCTCGACAAACAAAAAAACGTTACTGTGATGAATTTGTCACACTGCGTTAAATGTCCAGCTCAACAAACAAAAAATCTTTGAGTTGCGTATGAAAATATGTCTACTTTGATGAATTGTTAGCTTGAGGAGATGCTTGTAAAATGGATATTTGGCGATTGTCTTGTTGCCACATAAAACAAGTATAGAAATTTTCGTTTGTTGTGGTCTAAGAAGCACAAACACTTCTAAGAAGGTGGCAAATCTGTGGCGTGTCCGTGTTAGACCACCAAAACTTGTTAGACACTCCTTGAAACATGGATTTCTGATTTTTTTTTCACATCATGAGAGCACTTGATACTACTATAGTGTGAATTCATTATATGATATTGATGTGGACATTTAATGCCCAGCTCAACAAATAAAAAACGATACATGTAACGCCCAACCTAACAAACAAAAAATCTTTGAGTTTATCATTATGATTCATTAGCTCAAAAAACATATTATAAGGAAATGGTGGACAGATCTAACCTACTAAATAATTTCTGCCAAATCTGGTGAGTCATCATTACGATTCATTTGGGGCAATATCTTATTTCCTAATATGTTTCAAATTTCAACCACAATCATCAATCTCGTATTAATCGACATATAATTTTTATTGGTTGTGATTTTTTTAGAAACATGGACGGGTGATTTTTTTTTAACATCACGTGAGCACTTGATACTAATATAGTGTGAATTCATTATATGATATTGATGTGGACATTTAATGCCTAGCTTAACAAGCAAAAAATCTTTAAGTTGCCTATGAAAATTTGTCTACTGTGACGAATTGTTAGCTTGAGGAGATGCTTGTAAATTGGAAATTTGGCAATTGCCTTGTTGCTACGTAAAACCTATATAGAAATTTTCATTTGTTGTGGTCTAAGAATGGACACTTCTAAAAACGTGGCATATCCGTGGCGTGTCCATGTTAGACCACCAAAACTAGTTGGACACTCCTCAAAACAAGGATTTATGATTTTTTATTTTATTTTTAATATCATGAGAGCACTTGATACTACTATAGTGTGAATTCATTATATGATATTGATGTGGACATTTAATGCCTAGCTCAACAAATAAAAAACGTTACATTCCGTTAAATGCTCAGCTCAACAAACAAAAAATCTTTGAGCTGCCTATGAAAATTTAACTACTGTGATGAATTGTTAGCTCGAGGAGATGCTTGTAAATTGGAAATTTGGCAATTGTCTTGTTGCCATGTAAAACCAGTATAGAAATTTTCATTTGTTGTGGTTTAAGAAGCACGGACACTTCTAAGAAGGTGGAATATTTGTGGCGTATCGGTGTCGTGTTTGTGTTAGACCACCAAAACTCGTTGGACACTTCTCGAAACATGGATTTGTGAATTTTTTTCATATCATGAGAGCACTTGATACTACTATAGTGTGAATTCATTATATGATATTGATGTGAACATTTAACGCCCAGCTCAATAAACAAAAACCGTTACTGTGATGAATTTATTACATTACGTTATGTTAAATGCCCAACTCAACAAACAAAAAACGTTAAATGTTATGAATTTGTTACGTTATGTTACGTTAAATGCCTAGTTCAACAAACAAAAAATCTTTGAGTTGCTTATGAAATTTTGTCTACTGTGACGAATTGTTAGCTTGAGGAGATGCTTGTAAAATGGAAATTTGGGAATTGTCTTGTTGCCACGTAAAACCAGTATCGAAATTTTCATTTGTTATGGTCTAAGAAGCACGGACACTTCTAAGAAGGTGGCATATCCGTGGTGTATCCGTGTCGAAAACATGTTCTATTTTTTGGAAAGTTTTTTAAACACGGACACTCTTCGGACACTTGGAGGATACACGTTTTTATTGCTTAAATACACGTGTCCATCGATCAGACACACATGAAACTAATTATAAGTTTGAAATAAATTACTTAGGAAACCATAATGAAACAAAACAATGTAAATTTATAAAACAGTGTTATATTGCATTTTTTTTTATTATTATCTTTGAATGACATATTCTTACATACGACATATAATAAATATATAAAATTATATATTTTGTATGTATCCCCCACGTGTCGAGTCTTGCATTTTTTGAAAATTGTCATGTCAGCATATCCGTGTTATGTAACGTGTCCGAGTCCATACTTCATAGGTAGTGGTCAATTTAGTTGTGTGGATGCAAGAATGAGATTCCCTGATTATATGTTTGGGCCCCTTTAAGGGCAGCAACCAAAATGTCCCACGTTTACTCGGATAGATTGTTGATGTGTGCACGCACACGAGTGTATGAATTTACATTCGCTTTGATAAATTTCTTGGATGTTTGCGTGTGTGTGAGCATTCACAATCATAGGGAATTAATAATTTACAATGCACCTTATGAACCTTCTTATATGAATGCCTTAAACAAATTTAATTGAGCTTTGAAGTTAACAGTTGTATCTATTTGTGTACTTATTTATGTATTGTCTAATGCATTTAATCCTTGTAAGTTTTTAATCCTTTTTCTCTTTGAAATCTATTGTTTCTTTACCCTTTCATTAAGTTACTCTCATTTCTGTATCCTAACCATCATTCTGTGCCCCCTTTTTGTTGCAGATGCTAGACTACAATGTCCCTGGAGGTGAGAACAAAATAATTACATCATTTTATATTAAGAGATTTTCTACTTCATTTTGATGATTTGTTTGTGCAAGAATTTGCATTCCATGGAAGGAGAACAAATATAATTTAAGATGATTACATATAAGATATTTATTAGGTATTTATTGTATTAGTTTTACAGCTCACAGTGATTTGTTTTGTCTGCAGGAAAGCTGAACCGAGGCCTCTCTGTTATTGACAGCTATAAGTTGCTGAAAGAAGGAAAGGAATTAACCGATGATGAAATTTTTCTTGCATGTGCCCTTGGGTGGTGCATTGAATGGGTATGGCTTTATAACATCTTCACCTATGAAGCACGGAAACCTCTCTGGAGGTCGTGTACAGGTGTCCGACACGTGTCGGACACGGACACCTGCTGGACATGCTCCGGACACGTGTCGGACACGCTAGAAAGAGTTGGACACATTGCGGACACGTTGAGACACTTGAGGACACGCAAGGGACACATTGAGGACACGATGCTGAGGACATGTTAGGGACATGTTCAGTACTATTTTTTTCAAAAAAAATTAAATTTTTTAATTTTTTTACTAAGATAGCATACCTAAGGTTGATAAATGTGATAAAATTAAATATTTGACATAAAATACATTTTTAATATTTTAAAATATACATATAATAAAAATATAAAAATATATGTTTTGAATGTGTCCTCAACGTGTCGTGTCCTGCATTTTTTAAAAAATTTACGTGTCTGTGTGTCCGTGTTGTGTCACGTGTCCGTGTCCATGCTTCTTACTGTTTGTGGTCAATCTTGCATTTTTTTGTCTTTTTTCAATTCAATATTTTTTAGTATTACGTTGCATGGTAATTTGAACACTTCTTGACAATGATTCTTGCAGCTCCAAGCATATTTTCTTGTTCTTGATGATATTATGGATAACTCTCAGACACGCCGAGGTCAACCATGTTGGTACAAACTGCCAAAGGTATGTGATCCTCTTTTATTTATTGCCTAACTAACATGCTTATGATTGTTATTTTGATTGGACCGAGTTTTGAACTAATGAAATTTTTGTTGTAGATTGGTTTGATTGCTGCCAATGATGGCGTAATTCTCCGCAACCATATCCCTAGAATTCTCAAAAAGCATTTCAAAGGAAAGCCTTATTATGTGGATCTGCTGGATTTATTCAATGAGGTAGAATTTCAGACAGCTTGTGGACAGATGATAGATTTGATCACCACACTAGAAGGAGAGAAAGATTTATCGAAGTATTCAATTTCTCTGTAAGTGATAATTCTAATTTATTTTATTTTATTTTATTTTTCTAACTTGATTTTCAACCTGAAAAGATGTCCATATTTGTATTTTAATAATTGTACAAATGATTTTGTTTTAATGCAGACACCATCGGATTGTTCAGTACAAAACCGCTTACTACTCATTTTACCTGCCAGTGAGTAAAAATTCTTTTTCGTATCGCACTCATAACTCATGTTGTTCTATGAAGGATGGTTCATGTTTGTGCTAGTTATCTTTGCCTTAACAAAGTTCTCAATTCAAAATACCTCACATATAAATATGGGACTCTTCATTGTCTTGAAAATTGAAAATAGTGATACATCTCTTTACATTTTTTACAATGGCACTGCTCCACATTTGGGATTTCTACTATTTGTGAAGCACAGACACCTCTCCGGAAGCTACGTATGAGTGTCTGACACGTGTTGGACACAAACACGCACCGGATACACTCCAGACACGTGTTGGACACAAACACGCACCGGATACGCTCCTGACACGTGTTGGACACAAACACGCACCGGATATGCTCCAAACACGTGTTGGACACTCTGGGACACTTGTGACACATTACGGACACGCTAAGGATGCGCAGGGGCACGCTACAAACACGCTAGGGACACGCGGAGGACATGTTAAGGACACGCTGAGAAATTTTATTTTATTTTTTTTAAATTAAAATTTTTAATTTTTTTACTAAAATTAGATATCTAAAGTTGATAAAATTAAATATTTGACATAAATACATATTAAATATTTAAAAATATGGCTTATAATAAATATATAAAATTATATTTTTTGAATGTGTCCCTAACTTGTCATGTCCTGTATTTTTTGAAAATTTACCTATCTGTCTCTGTGTCCGTGCTGCGTAGTCTACTATTAATGGCCATGTTTTCAAGAATGATATGTTCCTATTGAGAGTCACATCTTGTTTTGCTTTCAATGCTTAAAAAGTATTTTCAAGTTTGATAAATGATTGACAAGCAAAGTTAATGCCTCATCTACAAAGCCTAGACCTTAGACCTTTGCCTTATAGTTCCATGTTTCCTGGAAACATATCAAGTTTTTTTTTTTGGGGCATCTTTAATTCGAAGTTTCCTGCTTCTTCTGATCCAAGTCTACAACAGGGTTTAGTGAATCTATGTGAGTTTAATTTGCTTCTTGTTACCATGTGAACCCAGGTGGCATGTGCACTGCTTATGTCAGGTGAGGATCTGGAAAATCATAATGATGTAAAGAATGTACTTATTGAAATGGGAACCTATTTTCAAGTGCAGGCAAGTTCTATTTGCATAGGATGGTTTTTTCCTTGAAAGCAACTCGACCACCATACTGCTATGAGATTTGAAATTTCTCATTCTTCCTCTTATGTCTTCTTGCATTCAAACAAAGAATATCTATTTCTCTTCCCGATAATCAATTATCTAATGTTATATGTGTAGGATGATTACCTGGATTGTTTTGGTGCGCCTGAGGTGATTGGAAAGGTAGGTTCCACTGTTTGTCTTGACTGTAAATCTCTCATTTGTTTTTTTGGAGACCTAGAGACTTACTTTGATCTTTTGCATTATCAGATTGGGACAGATATTGAAGACTTCAAGTGTTCTTGGTTGGTCGTGAAAGCAATGGAACTTTCTAATGATGAACAAAAGAAGTTTTTAAAGGTAAGGAAGCATATTATCCTCCTATTATTTGCTGTAACAGGTACTTGCTTTGCTCATCTAAGTGGGTTTTTTTTTTTTTTTTATTTACAGGAGAACTATGGAAAAGCTGATCCAACTTGTGTTGCAAAAGTGAAGGAACTTTATAATGCTCTCCATCTTCAGGTGTCTTTTATCCTGCCTTTACTCTTCTGATTTAACATAGGGCCTGTTTGGTGCACCTTATTCTAAACTAAAAGTTGATAATCTATGAGCAGAATCTAGAAGAACCTTCCCCCATCTTCAGGATAATCAGTTTTTATTTATTTATTTATTTATTTTTTTTTTAAAGCTATTTTTACCAAATAAGCTGTGAGCAGAGAAGTTACTACAAATGGTGACACATAATCCAAATTTGAAAATTTAAAAAAGAAGTTATAAGTAGCCCATTTAGGCTGTAGTAAACAGGAATGTTTTTAGTGTTTGGAAATTCGGTAACATGTAGAAAAGGGAGAAGGAGCTTATAACACTTACCACGTTGAAAGCAAGAGGACTTGCCACGCCTATCCAATTGATGAGCATTTTGTGTTTGTTACGTGCATATGTCGGAAACGAAACTGCAACATTTCATTATTAATCGTGTTATTCATTCTTGTTATAGGGTGCATTTGAGGAGTACGAGAGCAAGAGTTACGAGAAGCTAATCAACTCCATTGAAGCTCATCCTAGTAAAGCAGTACAGGCAGTGCTGAAATCATTCTTGGCAAAGATATATAAGAGGCAGAAGTAGGAACTTGTCACTAAAAGAGACAAGTTTTGGATGGAATTCCAACTTGGTTTGTTTTTGTATTCTCCTAAGTTGTTGTCTGTAGTTCATGACAGTTTTCCTCGCTCCAGCTTCGGAATCTCTCCTTTTCCTCCCTCCCTCCCTTCCCTGTCAGCAGAAGTATATTGAACTGCTATATTTTTTGTTTATAGGGATTTAAGGGGTCAATAATAAAATGCATTTTTCAAGCCCCTACATCATGTCAAGGGTTTTACTTCGATTTGTTTGTGTTTATGGGTTTGTTGCTTGCCCAACTGTTGCCTCCAGTTGGTAGTCTGCTTGATTTCCTATCAGACTGGGGCCGGAAAATGCTAAACTACCAAAATTTTCGTACATAATTTATTACAAGAATGATGTAGCAGTGACATGTATGTTTAGACATCCAATGATATTTAGACATGTATATTTCTAATAAAATTGTTAGTAAGAATGTAAGTAGACAGTAGCATTGGTCTTATAAATTATGACCAAAATAATAAATGAAAAATCACTATCTGTCATATGCCATTCTGTATAATATTTCTATAAGTTTTTTTGATTTGTATATCATTACTCATTTAGGCCTTCTCTAGCTATATCTAAAAAAGTTTGTTTTGAATAAACAAGCCAAAATAAGTTTTGTGCTTGGTTTGCCTAAATAGTATATCTTATAGAAAATATAATTTTTAAGGAAATCTTAGAATAGTGCAAAGACCATTTTATTGTCAATAAAACTCTACCTTTGGTAAGGGATATGATTATATTTTGCCAAAATGCAAAAGTTTAAATAATAATGATATATCACCAATTGGTATACTAATTAGTGTACAAACAAATAATATGGCATAATTTTAGAGGTTTTGAATATTTATAATTTGTATAAGGAGTGAGGTCTTAATTTTGAAGTAATAATGTCATAACATATATTGATACACTAATTGATATATTAATTAGTACGTACAGTACCACCGAAGTTTAAAAGCCTCCCATAAACTTTCTTTATAACAAAAAAAATTACTTTCATCAATTATCAAACGAGTTATTTTATTAGCATTTACTATTTTCTTAAAAAGTAAAAATAAATAAATAACACATTTACACTCAATTCAATTTTTTTTTCCCTCAATACACGTCATCCATTTTCAAATAATATTGTACGGGGAGCAAATATTCAGGCAAGCCCGTACTCCCTTCTTCCAAGCTCCGCTTCTATCCGATCACCTGCGTATACAAAGGCGGTGAGCTACCCGGCGGTGTGTGGCCGGAAAACCCCTCCGACGGTCAAGTTAGAACACACACCAGGGGATAGATAGAGAGAAGGGAGAGAATTGTGTTTAGTGTATGTCTCACCAAATATCATCCGTCTAAGCATGGGGGGTGCAGACTTGCTTGTATACCTTCTGCGCCCCAAATCCAGTCACATTCGTCTCTCAACACATGGAGCTGCTATCCCATCTGTCAGCACAAATCTTGCTGAGCATCACCTAACCCAATTGCCAGCCCACTCTTCTGGGAGCTTAGCAGCCGGGCAACGTTATCTCGGCTACCAATGGCCATACTCCACTTCGAGCCCAAGCGCACTTGTCGGCGTAATGCTCCTCAAACCGGGCTCATTTCTAGCCGTTCTCGACTGCATTCCAACGAAGCCGAGATGGAGATTGATCACCTTGGTCGTGCCGAGCTAAAGGCGCGTGTATTACAACCGAGCAACGCGCAAGCTGTGGAACCCTTACCTGACTGAACCTTAACCTGCCCGGTCTTCGTGCCAACGAAATCAGGTAGCTCGGTTACACAAGGCCTTTGCCATTACCAAGCAAGATCACGGCCCAATCTCGGAGCCAAATACCTCGGCCCAACCTCGTTCGGCCCAATCTGTCCGGCTAATTCCACGGCCCAATCTCAGATCATTAATCTCCCTCTCAATTGCCCCTTAATTCCGTCCGCTGGAGCGTTACTGGGATTACCTATTCCGACCGGGGTATCACCTCCTCGGTCCTCAATTTACTAATCGGCAATCGGGCTAGTCGACATGCATGAATTCAAACTTGCCCGATCTGTGGTTCTTCGGCTTGCTCGGTCGACGCCTCACCTGACCTTCCTGTCTCTTTCGCTTGCTCGGTCGACGCCTCACCTGACCTTCCTGTCACTTCAATTCTGACGCTGCCATCAATGGGACACGTGGCGTTCTCCCGTTGGTCCTCGAGCAGCCAACCAGCCGTCGCATGAAATTCGAATTTGGGCGGCAATTGGGGCTATATACGTGCCCCGTCTCTCTCTGTTTCATTCTTACTGACCATCTTCCGTCTCAAGCGTCCCAGAGCTGCTGCCCTTCTTCTCTCACCATTCTTGAGCTCGTGCTCGAAGGAAAAGTCACTGCCCTTCACTGGTAAGCCCTTCAACTCCTCTTTTGTTGCTATCTTCTTTAATATTTCACACATTAGGGCACTAAAACATAGTTTCTAGGGCATTAGTCTTAAGAACCATCCCAAACCTCCCACTGTGAATGGTGTTCTTCATTTTTCTTGAAGAACACTGAAAATCTAGGGCGGACCGGGCTCCAGGTCTCCATTTGATCCAAAAGGCCAATCTGACCGAGCAAATAACCTGTTTGTCCCAACCTTAGTGGAAACCGGGGTAGGCAAAGGGTTCGGTCGATCGACCAGGCTAATGTCTGGTCCGCTTGAACGACTGGGCTCCTTGGCTAACCTTCACAACCGAGGTGGTTTGGCACAATCAATGACCGAGCTAAAGTCAAGCCCGTTTCGCGCGACCGCGCTTCCTTTTACAATTCACAACCTTTTCCTACAGAGTCCAAGGGGACCCCTGACCATTTCTGAGGCTCCCAAAGACCGAGCAACCAACAATCACCAATCAGTGCCAAACCTCCTCAGCCGAGCTAATTTAGCCGGTCGTTCATGGGGAAATATCGATTTCTCGTAGATACTCCGGCTGCCCTAGTTGCGTTTAGGGAGGAGTACGACATCCCAGTCGATGTCCACCTTGAGCTTACAGAAATTGAGACAACGTCTTGGGGTAGAAAGGAGTGCCCCTTCACCGTGCTATCAATTGTCGAAGGAGGCCTTCGTTTCCCACCCAACCCATTGATCACCGAGGTCCTGCGCCGCACCGGGCTTGCACCCACTCAAGTGTCCACCAACACCTACCGAATAATAAACGGTGTGCACGAACTTAACAACCGGCTAGGCACAAACTTAGGCTTAGCCGAGATATTGCGGCAGTACACTCTTGGGCACACCGGTGATGGTCTCGCCTATTACCTTAAGATTAGGCCGGGCAAAGAAAAAATAGTGACCAGTACACCGGACAAGGACCTGTACGATGACGATTTCTTCTGGGTGACTGGTAATTATGAAACAGCCGAGGTACCGGGCTGGTTCATAAGCAAGAACTTCGGTTCCACATGTAAGCCGGTCTGCTTTTGCTCGGTCAATTGTTCCTCTATATTATTCTGTACTTAACCATTTTTCTTGTTTCTCCTACAGCTATTCAAGCCTTGCAAGCCAACTACCAATACCCCAACGTTGAAGCCATCCGCACCGTACTCCGTTACAACCACCGGGATTGCAACGAGTTGCTCGGTTACATGCCAACCTACAGATACTCGGCACCACGCTGGAGTAAAGTAACAGACTTTCTCCGCGCTCCATCACCTCTTCCAGACCCAACTTTGCCTGACGTCCCACTAATTCGGTTGACAGAAGCCGAGGAGATGGCAAAAAGAAGCCGTATCAAAAACCTCATAATTGCAACTTCCGCCGAGATACCGAGCGTTGTCACCCGCTTTCCAGCCGCCGGTCAATCAAGCGGCGCCGTGGTGGCGTTGGCTTCTCCAGCCACCGGTCAAGCTCGGCAAGAAGCCCGCCAAGCTGGGAAAAGGCCTCGCGCAGATCCTTCTGCCGAGCTGGTTGAAGAGCTGACTACCGAGCAACAAACCGTCACCGTAGACCCAACGCCAGCATGGCGACCGCAGCTCAAGCACCGGGGCAAGGAGATCCCGGCAACGGCCTCCGTAAAGGGAGACAAAGAATATCTTCTTGCCTTTGACCTCTCTAAAGCCCTTCTCCTACCGAGCGGCGTGGTCGGAAGCGACCATGTTCCAGACACCCGGCTGGTGAAGTCAGCCGTGAAGTCCATGACCAGGGTATGAGTCTCAAACTGCCACTCAAATTTTCACAAGTGTTTGAACGATTTCCAAACTGATCCAATTTTCTTCTTGCAGGCCATCCAGAAGCAACACTTGGTTATGGAGCGAATCCATCGACTGCGGCAAAAGGCCAACAGCACTGCCAGCCAAGTCCAAAGCCTTCAGACCGAGCTCGGCTGAGCAAAGTCCTCTCTTCAGATTGCTAATGCTGACAACACCAAGTTGCTCGGCCAGCTTGGTGACGCCGAGAAGGAGAGGGATGAGCTCCAGGCCGAGCTGGATGCAATTAAGAAGTCAAGGGAAAAAGAGCTTGAGGATGCCAATAACGCCGGCTTTAAGGAGGCCGAGGACAGCTACAAAAAGCAAGTCTTTGCCACCCAAGACATCTATTTCAAAGCGGGCTGGAAGTCAGCTTGCGAACATCTCGGTCAAGGTCCTGACACCGATGTATTTGCCACTCCCCCGGCTGCCTTCCTACCGGTCTGCCTCGTGCCTTATGCCAATGACGTCTTCAGCGCGTTGCAAGCTGAGGCCGAGGAAGAGCTTGCCAAAGAAACCGAGGTCAATGCCAATGAGGGAAGCGGCGAGGAGCAGCCTGGAGAAACTGAGGCTGGTGTCCAAGAGCGAACTACAGTCGACCTGGAAGCAGCTGACGACGAATTCTCCAATCTTTCCCCCCTGGTGTAGTTCTCTTTTTCTTCCATTTTTTGCTTTGCATATGTAATCGGGCTCTCTGCCCCTCCTTTTGTACTACTTTTACATCAATGAAAAAGCTTTAATTTCATTAAGTGTTTGTGCGGTTTTTAAGCCTCATAACTTCAGCCGAACAAGATATCTCGACGGGGCAAACCACTTTAACTAACTAATCTAACCGGAGTAGACATCTCGGTTGAGAACATCTAAGTTGAGCAAACCATAAATTCTTTCAACCGGAGTAAACTTCTCGGTTGAAAAGAACTGAGTTGAACAAACCATCAACTCTTTCAATCAGAATAACCATCGCGGTTGGAAATCCCAAGCTGAACAAGTCATCAACTCTTCCAACCGGAATAAATCATCTCGGCTGGGATCTTCAAAGTTGCACAAGTCTTCAACTCTTCCAATCGGAGTAAATCATTTCGGTTGGGAATCCTAAGTTGAACAAGTCATCAACTCTTTCAATCGGAATAAATCATCTCGGTTGGGAATCCTAAGTTGA